AGGGAGTTGGATGGAATTGCTAGCAAGCCACTTGATGAGAACAGATTCGCTGTACAGGAGTTTTCAGAGTTGAGAGATTTGAGACATAATGTGTTTGCTGCTCTCTGTGCAGGTGAGCTGTGTTTTAGAATGTATAAATTACGTATTTCAGACGTATTTCTTTTGAATTTTTTAATCGCGAGATAAAACAGATGCTTTGAAGAATTCTACAGATATCATTCTTAAAATCTTTTGCTTTCTTTCTTTAATGTTTAATGATTTTAACTGGAGCTTGATTACATGTTTAAGGTATTGTTTTAAAGAATGTAAGTTTACTTAATGTAAGTGTTCATTGGTCACTAGTACTAGATCTAGAATAGATGATTGTCAGTGATAAATAATGTGGTGAAGTTAACTTTTACTGCCATCGCTCTCAATTGGCCTCTCAATCATGCCAAGGTTTAAAAACAAAAACATGTCCCTTTAATAATGTTTGTTTCTCTTTTCCTTTTTCTTTTTTTCACCATGCAGTTTCCACACCAGCACCTACCAAAGTCAGTAAGTATTTATCTAAATATCTTACCCTGCTGATTTTTCCAATTATTGGGGGGATTTCCTTAGCAGCACATTCATTGCTTTTTTGCTTGAATTTAGTTGTTATATCTTATTCAAAACACCATACTAACAGAGACAGTTTTCACTGCTAAAGCTGCGTAATTCACCATCATGCACAAGCTTAGAAAGCCACCAGAATAACATACGGCATGACCCACATTTTTCTTTTCGCTGTATACTACCCCTAGGTGCAGTATGCACAACGATATTGCACACGTATTAACTTGGAATTTCAGAAAAGTACAGTCAGGGTTTCGGACTTACTGCGCGGTCCACCATTTTCTAACATCACATCAATAATGTATGAATACCATGCTGATAAAATAAGGCTACGATAGTAGAACTGCACATTAACATGTGTACGACTTTTGCTCACAAGCTTTAAATGAGACTAGAACTAATAATTTTCATAACGAGGATAATCGTTGCTTTGCCCTTTTAATTTCCATTTACTCATCTGTTTTTCTGCTTCGTCAAACTGAAGAACAAAACTCGAGGGTCCACGGATTGTTACTTTCAGTTTATCCTGAGGAAATCTGAAGGGGATATGTAAATGCTATCTATCCAATCTTACAGGTTGTGCTGGATCCAAGATTGACTTAGTGTTTGTTCTGGACGCTTCCACCAGTGTGACTGAGCCCAACTTTGAATTAATGAAAGACTTTGTAAAAGATTTCCTGTATGAAGCTGACATTGATGGCGGTAGTGTGAGAGTAGGTGTGATCATATACAGTACAGAAGATCATGTTGAGTTCCAGATGAATTCGTTCAGAACAAAGGCAGATGTTTACAATGCAGTAGATAATATCCCATACCGCTATGGCAGCACCAACACTGCAGATGCCCTTCAAACCATGAGATCTGTAATGTTTACAAGAGCCAATGGAGACCGTCCCAATGTAGACAACATTGCCATTGTGGTAACAGACGGTGTGTCAAACATTAATGCTAGAAGAACCATTCCTGAAGCAGAACAAGCTCGTGCAGACAACATCCACATCTATGCCATTGGTATTGGCCTGACAGACACACGAGAGTTGGATGGAATTGCTAGCAGACCAGTCGATGAGAACAGATTTGCTGTACAGGATTTCTCAGAGCTCAGAGATCTGAGACACAATGTTTTTGCTGCCCTCTGTGGAGGTGAAATATAATAGGGTTTTCGATTAACTTGCTCGAGTGTCGTTTATGGCATGCTTGTCTCTCGAATATCGTATATGCGGCACGTCAAATTTATCGCACACTAATGTAAAAGTTATATTTGAATGCTTTAAAGACAGTCTGTGTATTATCCTTTATATAATTCTACCTACTATTTATTTGGCATGGTTTTCTGGATAACATTTTAGAATGAGCTTGTTTTTGTTTGTTGCTTTTTTTGTTTTTTTTACTTTATAAAAATATGTCAAAGCGTACCATTTCTCTAACAACCTCATTCTGTTGGAGTGGCTGCTGCAAACTGAATATTCAGACCCGGGTGGTGTTGTTATTTTCACGGATGTCTTCCCTGATTCTACTGTCATGTAAAAATATATTATATGTTGTTTTACCCCTTATGCTGACATACTGTGACGGATATTATGCATGCAAGAAAATGTATTCAAATGGTTTACCTGCTTGATGTGAGTGGTACCTTGTAATGGACACAGACATGTATGCACTGTATTAATCATCCAAAGTTTCTCAAATACTATTTTCCAATGGCTTGGTCGTGTTACGTGGCATGCCTGTGGATGTGTCGATTCATTTTTTATACCATATAGTAGGAACGAACAGTGAGTATTTATTCATGTCTTAGGATCATGTTTAAAATTTTTATACCACATTACTTTTACCCATAACATTTCCAAAATTATTTCCATTACGTGTGACATCTACGGCTTATGAATAATCCAATTAATAAAAGAAACCATTGTAGATTCTATTCCTTAAATTTAAGTCAAAATAAACTGAAATAAGACCTTTAAAGCAGTTTGAATGTTTGACAGGTACACTATCAAAATATGTATATGATTGTCAATAATACATTTTATTGTTCTTTGAGAACCTTTTTGACTAAAAATAGATAGACGAAGATGGTAAAGGTAGAGTCGAGAAAAAAGAAAGGTCTGACATTTTCCATTCTGTTTCCAGTTACGACACCAGCACCAACTACTCGTCCACCACCACCACCAACTAAAGTCAGTAAGTAAAACATAATGATATATTATTTACAAATGAGATTGATGTGAAAGAAAAAGGTTTCTTTGTTTTTTGTGTTTTCAGTATATATATATATATATATATATATATATATATATATATATATATATATATATATATATATAAGCAGGCTCTATGCGCTTTACACTATATTATTACCCCAGCAGACCATAGAACACTCCGAAACATTCTCAGCTTCCTGGGAAGCTTACAGTGCAAGCAGCTGATTAAGCGCTCAAACACTAACAAACTGACAAGATCTTTCGCTGTCTATAGCCGGGTACCCATTCCCACCTGGGTGAAGTGAGAAAAACTCGTGTAAAGTGCCTTTCCCAAGGACACAACGTCGGGTGATCTGACGGGATTCGAACCCACAACCTTACAGTTGCGAGTCCGAGAGCCTAACCACTAGGCCACCGACGACATATAACATATATATATTATGTGTGGGGGGGGGGGGGTTGGGGGGGGACAAAAATGGGTTACATTCTTACTCTTGCTGGAGAACTTCTAATCTGGAGTCCTAAAGATTTTCGAGGAGCAACCCTTATTACAGTAGCATAGGCCCTGTAGAAATTCTTGAGGGCTGAGAAAGTTGGATGAATAATTTCAGTTTTCGTAAGTTGGGTAGGAAGATGCATTGTATGTTTGAGTGTGTGTGTGTGTGTGTGTGTGTGTGTGTGTGTGTGTGTGTGTGTGTGTGCGTGTGTGCGTGTGTGAGTGTGTGTTTGTGTCTGTGTGACTGTGTGTGTGTGTGTGTGTGCGTGTGTGTGTGTGTGTTTGTGTGTGTGTTTGTGTATGTACATTCAGTAATTTCTGTTTTACAATTTCGTTATCGTGAGGCAAACAACCAGGTTCTTTTAAGGACTAGTCCCTTTTACAGATTTCGAGCCTCATAACCCCGGACATACCTGCTCACTTACTTTGTTTACCTCCCGGGGCAGTGCCACTGACTGTAGTGTCTTTAGGCCATTCCCAAAGGGGAGGGGGGGGGCATTTCTCGTTCAAGAATAGTAGAATTGTAAATGGGCTGACTCATGTCAGGCTAATAACTGTGCCTGGTCTACAACAGGGAACTGCTGCTTTTTATTTCCTGAACCTTACTATTGTCCTTTTCCTCTACTTCTTTTGTATGTTTGTCACTCTCTTGTGACCTGCTATTTCAGGGGTGCCTTGATAGTCAAAGCAGACCTTGTGCTGTTGAAGTTAGAGAGGTGAGCAGTCGAAGTCTGATTCCCTGTAAAGACTTCTCTGTTGACACCAACCCCTTTGCGCTCATATGACCTTATGCAGTTGCCAGCGCCGTAAAACCCTCTGCTATGAAGAAAAAATTACTTTGTTTATTCTATGATGGAATACTAAATTGATGTGATACTGCCACATAAGATAACAAAAGCGTGTTTGTTTTTCTTAATAGAAATGAAATGTATATAGGTTTCCCTAAGTTATAGTAGACGTTATTTCGAGTGGAAGTGAGGACAAGAAGCTTCAAATGATGTTTTTACGTCAAAAACTCTTTTCGGTATAATTTTCTAGCGTACTGAAAGGCCTGACGTTGGCTATTTGGTAAGGGCATACAAAAAAGAATGTCCTCTATTATTGTTCTATCTTTGCAGGTTGTGCCGGAGCCAAGATTGACTTGGTGTTTGTCCTGGACGCTTCCACCAGTGTGACTGAGCCCAACTTTGAACTGATGAAAGATTTTGTAAAGGATTTCCTGTATGAAGCTGACATTGATGGCGGTAATGCTAGA